CTCAAACCGCCGCCAACTGCCCCGCGGCCGAGGGCGGGCGCCAGAGCCCGTGACGGGCGCGCGAGGGCACCCCGGGGCGCGTGCCGGAGCACGTGACAAGGGCGGGAGGAGCGTGATGGGGCACGTGGCAAAGGCGCGGGGAAGGAGACGCGCAGGTGGGCGGCCAGCAATGGGCCGTGTGATTGGGGGAGGGGCAGGCGGCGGGGCGCTTGACCAGAGCCCGCTGAGGGCGAGGAGACTTCAGAAGCCGCCTGCTGCTGGGAAAGTCGGGTGTCGCGACGCCTTCTTCTATCCTCCCTCCCTTCTCCTTTGCGTTTCGGAGACATTTAGGCACAGACCTCTAAAGTCAAACTGCCCAGTTCCTGGGAAAAGCAGGTGATGTTCTTCACTTTCCCATCACCAAATCCACAAAACCTGCTGCACCTCCTCCCTCGTGGTGCAAAGGAAGAAAGGCCCTGGATCCCACCCCGCCTGCTGTTCCTGGGTCTTCCTGCTCTTGCCTACTCCAGGGCTTGACTCCTTTGGGTGTCCCCTCTCCCCTGCACCAGTCTTGCCTTGACTGCTGGAGCATTTCCTTCAGCTTCTGTGTCCTAAGCTCTCCCACCTTAAAACGAACAAGCCTGCCTTCGTCCCACATCTCCCTCCTGCTACAGGTGGCCCCATTACTACTACTCTTAGAACAACTTCTCCAAGGAGTTGCTGCAAAGGCTTCCTCAACTCTTGTGTCTCAGCCTCCTCTCCCTCCATTTTCTCTTCCCCCCACTTCCATACCCCCCCACCCCCCTCCCGCTCACACTGTGCTTGGTGCCAGATTGATCAGACACCAGACTCCGGGGCTCTTGTCAGCACTGGATAAAGTTGACCTCTCTGACTTTTAAACGCTTTTTTCGCTTGGCTTCTATATTAGTTTTCTATCACTGTCACAATGGATTACCACAAAACCAGTTGTTTAAAGCAATATCTATTTCTTCTTTCACAGTTCTGTAGGTTAAAAGTCCAATTCTGGGGCCGGCCCCGTGGCTTAGCGGTTAAGTGTGCCGCGCTCCGCTGCTGGCGGCCCGGGTTCGGATCCCGGGCGCGCACTGACGCACCGCTTCTCTGGCCATGCTGAGGCTGCGTCCCACATGGGGCAGCTGGAGGGATGTGCAGCTGTGACAGACAAATATCTACTGGGGCTTTGGGGGAAAAATAAATAAATAAAATCTTTAAAAGTCCAATTCTGGTCTCAGTGGGCTAAAATCAAGGCACCAGCCTTACTGGAGGCTTTGGGGGAAGAATCCACTGCAAACCTCATTTAGGTTGTTGGCAAATCCAGATCCTTGCAGTTCCAGGCCCGAGATCCCTGTATCTTTGCTGGCTGTCGGCCAGGGGCCGCCCTTAGGTTAGAGGCCTCTCTCTGGTTCTTGCAAGTGGGCCCTACATCTCAGAGCCAACAAGAGCACACCGAATCCTTCTTGTGCTTGGAATCCTCTTGCTTCCTCTTCTGCTGAACCTCTGGCTCCAGCTGGGGAAAATTCTCTACTATTAAGGGGTCATGTGATTAGGTTGGACCCACCTGGATAATTCAGGTCCATGACCACAATGATATCTTCAAAGTCCCTTTTGCTGTGTAAGGTCACACATTCACAGATTCCAGGAATTAGGGCTTGCATATCTTTGGGGGCCATTCCGCATCCCGCAGCTTCCTGGTCACCACACTCTCCTGATTTTCCTCCTACCTCACTGGCTGTTCCTTCTCAGTCATCCTCCTCTTCCTGGCCTGTAAACGTTAGCAACCTCGGGGCCCTGTTCATGGACCTCTACCTTTCTCTATTCTCAATCCCTGAGGGAGCCCAGCCATCTCCACAGGTTTAAATATATGACACACTTCAACAGGTGGTATACCTGGCCAGCCAGAGCCTCCGCGAGCGCCAGAGCTCCAGTTGCCTGTGTCTAGTTGCCGTCTTCAGTGGTTCTCCAAGTGTTGTCCCCAGGTCAGCAGCAGTGTTGCCTGGGAACTTGTTAAAACGCAGATTCTTGAGCCCATCTGTGCAGGCACACACCATTTTATTGCACTTTGCTTCGTTGCGCCTCACAGACACTGTTTTTTTACAAGACCCTCCACCAGCAAAAAGATTCTGACTTGCTGAAGGCTCAGGTGATGGTTAACATATTTTAGCAATAAAGTTGTTTTTTTTTTTTTTGGCGAGGAAGATTGGCTCTGAGCTAACATCTGTTGCTGGTCTTCCTCTGTTTTATATGTGGGTTGACACCACAATGTGGCTGACGAGCCGTGTAGGTCTGAGCCTGGGATCTGAACCCATGAACCCGGGCTGCCGAAGCGGAGTATGCTGGACTTTAATCACTACGCCACGGGGCTGGCCACTAAAGTATTTTTTAATTAAGGTGTGTATGTTGTTTTTACGACATAATGCTATTGCACACTTAATAGACTACTGTATAGTGTAAACATAACTTTTATATGCACTGGGAAACCAAAAACTGCATGTGACTCGCTTTATTGTGATACTCGCTTCATGGCGGTGGTCTGGAACCGAACCCGCAGTGTCTCCGAGGTCTGCCTGCTCCTGAATCAGAAACTCTGGGGGCGAGGCCCAGAAGTTTGCGTTTTAACAAGCCTCCCAGATGATTCTGATATTTGCTGAAGTCTGCAGGCCACGGAGTGCCGGGGTGGCTCCACCTGTGTGTCCTCAGGCCTCTGACTCTGGGCTGCGCCATCTTCCTTTTTCACCACCATCTCTTCTACGTCACTCGTTGGCGTCACCATCCATCCCCACAAATGCTCAAGTCACTGTGATCCATTATCTACCCAGCGGCCAGAGTGATCTTTTAAAAATATAAATCAGATGATATTCCCTTGCCTTGAAACCCTCTGATGGCTCCTGCTGCCCTTGAAATTAGATCCAAATCTTTGCCCTGATCTGCAGAGCCCTCCCTGCCAACCCCTCTGGCCTCATCTTGTGATGTTCCCTCTCACTTACTGCGCTCCAGCTGCCCAGGTCTCCTCTCTAGGGTATCACCAACACCGAGCTCTTTCCGGCCTCGGGGCCTTTACACCTGCTGGCCCATTGCCTGGTCTGCCCTCCTGCAGCCTTGCAAGTGGCTGGCTTCTCTGTATCCTTCAGGTCTCAGCTCAACCATCCCTCCTCAAAGACATTGCCCTGCCCCTTTCTAAAGTGCAGCTCGCAAACCCGCCACCCCACTCCTCTTTCTCACCACACTGTTTACTTCCTGCATAGCATTTAACACTATTATATTGTTTATTTGTGAGCTTACCCCACTCCTACCCCAACTATATTATAAACTCCAAAAGGACAGAAATCCTGTCTGTCGTTCTCTAATGTATGCTTAATACCCAGCTCAGTGCTTGACACATAGCAGGTTCTCAATAAATATTTGTTGAATTAACAAGTAAAATTAGCTTTCTACCTGCCTCTGCCAGGTCTCCCTTGTTATGGGGTAGAGACCTCCCCCGCTGGTGGACTTGGGTGCTTGGCCTGTGGGGGTCGTGGCCTGCTGGTTCAGAGTGCCTTGTTTCTTAACACTCCTGGAGAGCCTCTCCCAGCCGTCTTTTCCAATCCATAATTTCCCACCACACCCCTTCATATTCATAGTATATTATGACCATATTTATTAACTATAACAAAATGTCATTGAACTTCCAAACCTTTGAAAGACTTTATATAAAAAAGTTCATAATTCAATAATATTGAGTAAAAGAAGTCAGACACAAAAGAGAACATACTACGTATGGAATTCTTTTTATTTGAAATTCAAAACCAGGCCACGTTAATCTACAATCTGAGTCAGGATAGTGGCTACCCTTATTAGGGGTTCTGACTGGGGGTACATGAGGAAGCCTCTGGGTGCTGGAGACGTTCTGTGTCTTGATCTTGAGAGTGAGTAGACATATATAATGTGCACATCAAGTGTATGGTTGAGATTTGTGCACTTTATAGTTATACCTCAATAAAAAAATCTAAATAAGTAAATAAAAATACCTTCAAAAAAGGAGAGAGGTTCAGACAGAATTGTGTCAAAGCACAAGTCTGCCCCCATTTGGGGTCTGCAAGGTGTGGATGGGTGCCCAGTCCCTCTGTCCCTGCCCCTCCCTCATGCCTGGCCAAGGCGAGCGCCTGCACGTTGCAGTTATCAGAGCCGGCCGAGCAGAGGCTGCCTCCCCAGTCCCGTGATGTGGTCCAGTTTCCACCTGATTCTGGGCGACCTTGGGGACACGTGGGTGTTGCTAGGAAAGGGGAGGAGGACGGGGCAGGAACTAGGTGGTGGAGCAGGCGTCCAGCTGCAAACCCCAGGTCTCCGTGCCTGCTGTCCCATCCTGGTGAGAAGAAAAGGCCCAGTGGATCGGGTCAGTGATGCTGGTGTGAGGCCCCGGTGGGAGGCTCAGGGGGTCGTGAGAAACCAGGTAGTCCAGCGGGGCGTCTCCGTGGGTCTGCTGCTGACTTTCAGCTCAGTGCTTTTCCTCTCTCAGTGCCAGTCACGGGGGAGCAGAGTGGGAGACTGGGTGACAGCCCTCCTAGGTCCCAGCCTCTCTGGAACAGTGCTGTGCTAAGAGCACTCTCTGCCCCCGCATGACCTGGGTGTCTCGAGTAACTGCGGATATCCGGGTCTCAGTGGACATGTGTGAAGGGTGACTCGGGAATCTCTGTTGTAACTATGCTTTCAAGAGTTGCTCTCCAGTTTGAGCACTGATCCTGAAGGTGGGAAGGCCCTTTGCTTGTTTTTGCTGTCCAGTTCTAGGTCAGAACGCCTGCTGGGCTGGAGCTTGGTTATTCGTGTCACTCCAAATGACCCTGCAGATGGCCCCTTTCGTGGTTACCTCCAAATCTGAGTAAAAAGCATAGAATTATGTCTCCAAGTGACTACTTTTTTCAAGTCCTTTGTTTTAAAGATGGAAAATAGGCCCAAGGTCATAGTGGGTCAGGACTGGCATCCTTCAGAGCCTGTAATTTCCAGGGGCCCTTGGAGGTCGGGGGCGGAGGGAGCAGGCTCGAGGAAGGCCGCCCTGTGTTCCAGCCGGGCGGCGTGGATGGCGTGGCAGGTGAGCATGCCGGAGCTGGAGGACCGCCTTCAGTGCCCCATCTGCCTGGAGGTCTTCAAGGAGCCCCTGATGCTGCAGTGCGGCCACTCCTACTGCAAGGGCTGCCTGGTGACTCTGTCCCGTCACCTGGACTCGGAGCTGCGCTGCCCCGTGTGCCGGCAGGAGGTCGACGGCAGCAGCTCCCCGCCCAACGTCTCCCTGGCGCGGGTGATCGAAGCCCTGCAGCTCCCCGGGGACCCGGAGCCCGCGGTCTGCGAGCACCACCGGAACCCGCTCAGCCTCTTCTGCGAGAAGGACCAGGAGCTCATCTGCGGCCTCTGCGGCCTGCTGGGCTCCCACCAGCAGCACCGGGTCACCCCCGTCTCCACGGTCTACAGCCGCATGAAGGTGGGTAGGAGATGCTGCGGGGCGGGGAACCGGGCGGGGAGGGTCCGCCCAGCCCAGCTCCTGCGCTCTCTGGCGCCATCGCCCGGCACAGAGGGGTCCCGGCCCGGACTCGATTTCCCTCCAGCCCTGTCCTGGAGCAGAACTTGGAGCGTTCATTCATTTATCCATCACGTTTTGAGCAGCTGACCGAATGCCCAGGTGCTGGGGATTACAGCGATAGCATGAGGGAGCCCCCTTGCGTCGCGTGCGAGCCCCTCCCCCTGTGCTAGTTTTCTTTGTAGCTCTCTTTTGTTTCTTGAGCGCTGCCCAGACCACACTCTCAGGCACATGGGGGCAGGACTTTGTTTTGTTCCCTGGGGTATTTCTGTGCCTAGAGCTGTGCCTGGCATGTAGTCACTGCTCAGAATGTATTTGTAGAATCAATAGATTCCTGCCCTCCTGGAGCTTTGCCTCAGATCTACAGATCATCATTTAAGACGCACAATGATAACAATGACAGCATCTTAGGTTAATACGTTGGTCTAAGGTTTATGAAGGGTGGGGTTATTACTGAATTTTACAAGTGAGGAAACTCAGGCTCAGAGGAGGTAAGCATCTTACCCAAGGTCATACAGCTTGTCAGCGGCAGAGTGAGGACTCAGACCATGGCCAGTTTTCTTTCCACTGCCAACAGATCAAGAAAGGGCAGGAAGGGCTTTCGGTAGTGCATCGTTATAGGGTACCTGGCACAGTGTTGGGGGGAGGGGGCAGTAAAGGTGAGGAACCACAAATACAGGTGAGGGCGGGAAGAGGAAACAGTCCAAGATCTGTAGGCAGAGGGTCCTCTGGAAGCTGTTGCAGGGGTTCCCTGGCCGAGTGCTCTGGGCAGCATGTCTTTGCTCCTTCAACCCTGGGAGACAAGTAGGAAACATGCGCAGGGCCAGCCAGGTGGTTCACCAGCCCCTCCCACCCACAGACATTTACTGGGCACCTACGATGTGCCAGTGCCCATGGTACAATAGGGGGCAAAGAGGCTCACCCTGCCCTGGGGGACCTCACTGTCTGGGGGTCTGACAAAGAGTCCCGTGTGTCAGGTGCTGCTGTCAGGGTTAAATACAAGCAATGGCGAGATCCTGGAACATGGATCCTGCATGATCTCAGATGTTCAGGGGAAGCTTCCTGGAGGAAGTGGACTGCTAAGCTGAGGCCTGAACCACAAGGAGGACTTTATAGGAAAAGAAGAGGAGGAAAAGCATTCCAAGTACAAAGACAGCACGTGCAAAAGACCAGGAGGCAAGCAGCATGGCTATTTGAGGAAGTGAAAGTCATTCCATTAGCTCAAGGGAGAGTGAGTTGGGAGCAAGATGGGGCAGGTGAGGTAAGCAGGGGCCAGGTCATGGAAAGGCCTGTGTAACATGTGAAGGGATTTGGAGTTTATTCCGAGGGCCGTGGTGGGGGTGGGGGTACTGGAGGGTTTTCAGCAGTGATGTGACGTGGCCTGACCCCTCTGCCGGAGGGAAGGTGTAGAGTGGGGCTGGGATGAGAATGGGGGTCATCTACACTTGGGTGGGAACTGAAGCCACAGGAGTGGAGAAGACCAACCAGGAGAGTCTGCGGAGTGATAAGGCAAGACACAGATGATGCCCCAAGGAGCACCAGGGTTTAAGATTTGGGTAGAGAGAGAACCCCAGAAAGAATCGAGAGAGGGAGCAGGAACATTGGTTGAATACAGCCTCCTAGGAGCATTTTCTCGGGACAGGTCCCTTGTGTGAAATGTCTGCTGAGGACTGGAAAGATTCTGTTAGATTTAGCAGTAAGAACTATCATCTTGGCCAGAATAGTTAGAGAGGAGTGTGGAAAGAGGAGGCCAAACTGCATTGTGGTGACACTGAGCCCACGTTTTCTTAGCAGAGGGCTGACCAGAAGAGAGGGAGACACGCAGGAGCTTGCTCGTCATTTCTGGCTAGGAGTGGGGACAGCTTGAGTCCTGCTTTAGAGCTGGCTTTTTGTGATCCCAACACTCTTCTCTGTGATGCAACTAAATTGTGTGCCTTTATGAGATCCCTTTCACGCATTCCTGTTTTCTGCTACTGATTGAGATGTTGAGATACTTTATTTATTCATTTATTTGCATAATTCTGTTTTCTCTCACTGTGGTCCGGGTGATGGGAGAGAACTCATCTCATCTCTCTCTGCCTCGGGAGGTTACCACTGGAATGCCCTTCTCAGGCTGCTATGAGATCTGATGCCTCGTGATCCAGAGCAGGCCTCTGTGTCCATTTATCCCCACACTAGCTTTATTCTTTTCCAGCTCCCTTCCTGAAAGGCTCTTGCAGCTGCCTTCCGCTTGGCAACTATCTAGGCCCAAGAGTCTGTACACTCCCCAGGCACAGACCAGCAGCGTCAAGTAGTGCCAGACCATAGTCCAGATGGTCCTGGTTGGTCCCAGTTGGTCCTAGGTCAGATTTGGGGCCAGGGAAGCCCAGGAGAAGTAAGTTTACTTCAGCCTGGGGAGGCCCCAAATCCAGGCTGGGGCCAGGCCTGCTGGGGATGGGTTCAGGTCTTTGTAGGAGCAGGGAATCACCAGGTGGAACCTGGGCCACTCTGTGCACCCAATGGTGCCTTGGGGCCAGCCTTTGTGTGGTGACTCTTGATCAACTGCCCACTAATCCTGGGCCTGCTGGTGACCGGAGAGTTTACTTGGTGGGTTCCCTGCAGGCAGCATCCCACCCAGGGTGTGTTGGCTTCAGATTGTCAGGCACCCCTCTTGGATGTTGTGCGGTGATTTCCAGGTGGCATCTCTCTCCATGTCGTGGAGATCCTCTTCTCCCTGGGCAGTTCCTGCCATCAATGTGGAATATTCTTGAATAATCTTACCTATTTGGGGGTCAAGGGTACTTGGATAGCTCCCTGGTTCCACTGGGAGTGCTTGGGGATGCTCCCAAGAAGGGTGAGGCTCAGGGCTGGCCCCGTGGAGCTGAGAGGGTGAAGGGATCAGCTGCTCAGGGGGCCATGGCATGTTGCCTCCAGGAGGAGCTTGCGGGCCTCATCTCTGACCTGAAGCAGGAGCAGAAGAAGGTGAATGAGCATATCGCCAAACTGGTGAACAACAGGACCCGGATTGTCGTGAGTGCCCTTTCCTTCTGCCCCAACCCTGGGCCCGGCCACCTCCCCTTTCCTACAGAGCCCAGTTCTTGTTTGTCTTTTACGGAAATCCTTTCCATATAAAGCCAGAATTCAAAGCATTCCAGGGTAGGGCGGGGAAAGTGCAAATCCTCTGAGGGGAATTCAACACAGTTGTCAGGACCGTCTCCAAGTTGGCTTGTGTCCTCCACGTCCTTGGGACTGAGATAACCCAGAACCTAAGTCCTAGAGGTAAACAGCCCAAATGTGGGCATGACTGCCTGCCCCCTGCCACCTGTGTCTGCTTGACCTTGACAGCCCGTGTGGTGCCCTCCCAGTACGTTGGAGCACAGGCGAGGAAAGGCCTGGAGCCCTTGGTGGCTGGCTGCTTTTCCTAAATGAGAGGCACATTGGGTCTGGGCTGGTGTGGAGCCTGGGACCCTGCAGGAGGTCATGAAACCGGAGCAGGAGACCAGTGTCCCCGGACATTATCTCATTTAACCCTTCTCACCCTGGAGAGGGAGGTGGCATTACCCCCGTCTGATGGAGGCAGGACTCAGGGTCACACAGGCATCCCAGGCTGTCTCACTCCAAAGCCTGCTCTCCTGGGGCCTTTCAGACTGTTTTCAGTTGTGGAACACTGTGGTAAAGCAGAATCTTACGTGCACGCTTAATAGTTAAGAGGACGAAAGCAGAGCCCCTGCGTTTGAAATGGGAGCTGGGGGCCCAGCATCTCTCCTGCCACTGTTGCCCTCTCCCACGGCCACATCTAGGATCCCCAGGCACAGTGAGAACACCCTGGCAGGAGTCAGCCCTGGGACTCAGGTACCAGGAGCAGCCCAGTCAGGAAGGCCCAGGAAGGCCGAGGCTGCCAGGCTCTGGGGACACTGAAGTCAGCCATAGACAGGTGGCTCCGCGAGGCTCCAGCTGTGACCGCCCCTCCCTGTCCCAGAATGAGTCCGATGTGTTCAGCTGGGTGATTCGCCGAGAGTTCCAGGAGCTGCACCACCTGGTGGACGAGGAGAAGGCCCACTGTCTAGAGGGGGTGGAGGGTCACACCCGGGGGCTTGTGGCCTCCCTGGACATCCAGCTGGAGCAGGCCCGTGGCACTCGAGAGCGGCTGGTCCAGACCGAGCTTGTGCTGGAGCAGTTCAGTAACGAGAGTCACCACGAGTTCATCCGGGTGAGTGGACAAGGAAGTGTCCCCATGACGAGGCCCCCAGGGTCCCAAGAGCCTCTCCCATCCTAACAGCTCCCCCATCCCCTAACCCACCTCTCTTGTCTTCCAGAAATACCACTCCATGGCCTCCAGGTAATAACCTCGGAGGGAGCTCTCGGCGAGGGTCTGGTGGCTGCGGGTACGGATATCTCATCTCCACTAGTTTCCCCTCTTCAGTTTCACCAGTGCCTTGGGAGCAGCTGCCCACAGCTGGCTCTGTACTGAGCCCAGGGAAAACAGAGAAGAAAGTCACCTCCCTGCCTTCAGGGTCCCGAAGACTGGTGGGAGGCAGATGGTGAACTATGGTTACACCACTGTGGGCACCTAGAACAATACAGGTTCACACAAGCTACAGAAATATCCAGAGGAGGTGACGGTGGGCGGGATTGGCAAAGACTGTGCCCAGGTGAGAAAGCTGAGAAGGGCAGAGGACAGGAGTTTGCCAGGCAAGTAGAGTCACATGAAAGGGTGAAGTAGTGTGCAGACTTGCAAGTATTATGAGAAGTTCAGTATAGCTAGGGTATAAAGTATGACACAGGGCAGAATGGGAGATAAGGTGGGAGAGGTGGGTAATTGCCAGAATGAGGGGCCTTGATACATGCACTACGGCTTGTGGGAAGGGATGGGATCCATGTTCTAGTCCCTAAAATGAATAATCTGTGTAGTTCCTGGGCCTTCTTCAGACCCCATTTATGAGAATCTCCTTGTTTTCTCGAATTTCCTTTAGTCTTAGGGACAATCTGGTTAGGAGCATTGGTTTAAATGAATGGACAGAGAACCTGATTGGCTGAGTTTGGAGCAGGTATCCACTCCAGCTGTGGCTGGGGGCCAGGGTTCCCGACGCAGAGACATTAGCATGCATCAGAACCACCTGGAGAGTTCGTCAAAGCACGGATCACTGGGAAATCACCCAGTAATCAGTTTCTGATTCAGCAGGTCTGCGGTGGGACCTGAGAAAATTTGCATTTCTAACAATTCCCCAAGTGATGCTGCTGGTCCCGGTGGTTTGAGAACCACTGATGTAGTGTTTACCCTTCCAGGAAGGAGGCAGGTCCTCTGAGAGTGGGGTGGCAGGGAGGAAGTGATGGGCATCTTGAGTGCATGGTCTTCTGGGCTGTGGATTGGCTGGTTGGACTTGCGTACCGATGCGTGGGGGGCGGGGGAGGGGGCGCACGGTACACAGCTCCGCCGTCACTGTGAAATGTTGCCTCCAGAGCAGAGCTCCAGCAGGCCCGGCCCTTGGAAGGTGCCTTCAGCCCCGTCTCCTTCAAGCCAGGCCTCCACCAGGCCGACATCAAGCTGACTGTGTGGAAAAGACTCTTTCGCAAGGTTCTGCCAGGTGAGGCCCCAACCCATCCTCTTTCCTGAGGGTGGCCACCCAGGGTGGGCAGCAATTTGTTGGTTGTGTCCGAGTTTAAGGTACAAAGAACTGGAAGAGAGGCTGCATAGGCTGGTGGGGAGCACATGGGAGTGGGGTTCCCCCAGACAGCTTGGGCTCAAGCTCAGCTCCATCTCATACTAGCTGGGTGACAGGGCGAGTTGTGTACTTTCTGAGCCTCAGTTTCCCCATCTGTAAAGAGGGGCTATTAACATTCATCTTGCTGGGCTGTGTAGTTTATAAATATACATACCTATGTGCGTGTGTAGTTTAGTGGTTAATAAATGGTGGCTATTGCTCTGTCAAAAAATAACTCAGAGACATTTAATTAACCCCTTCATTACTAGCACGTAAGGGAGGTCAATCAGTAGACTGATTTCATCCAACAAAGGCAAACACAGGGCTTATATAAGAGAAACAGGGAGGGGAGAAAAGACCGTAGACATTCTCTGAAGCGTGAATGTGTTTGCACATTTTGGGTGTAAACTGATTAGCTGGCAGCTAGCAAAGAGGTCAGTTGGGATAGTTTGTCCTTGAATAGGGTGCTTGGGTATCAAAGAAAACAACTGGCATTGTTATGAATTCTCCAGAAAACTGGGGGAGTTTAGCTGTGGAGCAGAGTGACAGGCTGTCTTCCAGGTCCTTCCATCAGCACCTTGGCCTTAGATGGGCCCGCACCATTTCTCTTACCAGACTGCTTCTGCTCACGGCTGTCCATTTTTTCCATCCTTCAGGCATCATTCGTTTATTCAGCAAACATCCTTGGGGTGCCTACTCTGTGCCTAGCCTTCTAGGCCCCTTCTAGGCCCCACGGATACAGAGAGGAGGCTGACGCAGTTCCTCTCCTGAGGAGCTCGAGGCCTCCAATCAGCCTCCCTTTGGGCAGGGTCTGCTGCCTTCTGTGTGGCTTTCAAACACGCCTTCTCTGATCTTTCCTAGCTCCAGAGTCCCTCAAGCTGGACCCTGCCACCGCCCACCCTCTCTTGGAGCTCTCCAAGGGCAACACCGTGGTGCAGTGCGGGCTCCTGGCCCAGCGCCGCGCCAGCCAGCCCGAGCGCTTCGACTACAGTACCTGTGTCCTGGCCAGCCAGGGCTTCTCCTGCGGCCGCCACTACTGGGAGGTGGTGGTGGGCAGCAAGAGCGACTGGCGCCTGGGGGTCATCAAGGGCACAGCTAGTCGCAAGGGCAAGCTGAGCAAGTCCCCAGAGCAAGGCGTGTGGCTCATCGGCCTGAAGGAGGGCCGGGTGTACGAGGCCTTTGGCTGCCCGCGGGTGCCCCTGCCTGTGGCCAGCCACCCCCACCGCATCGGCGTCTACTTGCACTATGAGCAGGGAGAGCTCACCTTCTTCGATGCTGACCGCCCCGATGACCTGCGGCCGCTCTACACATTCCAGGCTGACTTCCAGGGCAAGCTCTACCCCATCCTGGACACGTGCTGGCACGAAAGGGGCAGCAACTCACTGCCCATGGTGTTGCCCTCACCCAGTGGGGCCGGCCACCTCACCCCCGCACAGCCCACCAAGCTGTAAGGCTGCTTGTGGGGTCGCCTGCCCACAGGCTCTTCCCAGCTGGGCACAGGGACTTGAGGGGTTCCTCTGGGTCCAGCGAGCAGAGGTGACATCTTTACAATTTGGGAAGGTCTTCATGACTGTGTGTCCCTAGAAACATTTAATGATAAGGAGAAAAGGACCATAATCTCTTCCCCATCAGCCACGGGCGTGTTTATTAAACTGTTTGCCAGGTTATTAACCTGCTTATTAACCAGCAGAGCCAGGCCTTGGTGTGCACAGGTCAAGCTGGCTTCCCTTGGTCCCTCCTAACCATGCTCTCTGCTTACTCTGCCAACTGAAGGTGGAAACATTCCCACACATACTTTTTCCTTATCATTGTGAACTTAAAATAACTTAAAGGATAATAAATTTGACATTCTTTCTCTTTAAATGATTTGCAAATATTAATTGCTGTGCATACATACTGCTTTATGCTCCCTCCGGTCTTTAAAAGAAGCTCTAACCTCTGGTGGGGCCGGATCTTGCTTTCACCGCCCCCCCCCCCCGCCCATTGGTCACATCAACCACTCTTCATGGCTGTGTCCTCAAAGACGTCTCTTGACTTCCTTCTTCATTAAATGAGATGGAAATGACACTACTTCAAGGCAGAAGCTAGGCGAGTCCAGACAGGGCTGCGGCCCATCCCTGAAGGCTGCCGGGCACATGGGAGTGGGCCCAGAGCCCATGTTATTCATGGGGAGCCTGGCCCTGACCGCAGCTGATGGTGTCCACCCCAGACCAAGGCTGGGACAGCTGAATTCTCTCCCAAGAATCTGAAAATTGCAAGAGAGAGAATGGTTGGGGCTGAGTCATCTGTAGCCTGGTGCTTTAGAGAGCAGCTCCTCAGTCTTGTGCCTCTGAGGTCTGTGGAGCTGCCTGAGACTTGCCTTCCATGGAGAACAGCTCTGCCCTGGCACGTATCTACATGAGCCACATGGGCAAAGGCTTGACCCATAGCCTGTCTGACTCTTCAGGCCCAGGAGATTCATAACCCATGGCCTCCCGGGCTCTGATGAGGTGTGAGGCTTTCTGCCCCACCTCCCTCCAAGGAGAGCTGCGGACTACAAAACAGTTCAGCTTCATCTAGAGCTGATTCCCCAGCAACAGGATTCCCCACAGCTCATGTGGGAGTCATCGGCCCTTTGGTTTCCGAGTCTTCCTTCTTGGTGTGTGCAACAAGGACCATGTGGAGCTGGCACCTTTGGCTAATCCCCCTCCTGCTGTCTGCTAAGCAATAAACTGTCTGAGTCAAAAGGTGCCTGTTGTGTCTCTCCTGGCGGAAGCTGTTGGGCCTGGGCCTTGGTTGCTGTGTGCCTCATGCCTTCCAGACCTGGGTTTTGGCTGTGTGGCTCTCCCTTCAGTTCCATGACTGGGCTGGAGAGTGCTGCCCTGCTAGACCCACCCGTGTCCACCCTGCTCTGTGTCCTGGGAGGCTGGCCCTGATGGATTGCAAAACCCTCTGGCTTCCTGTTGGGTTCAGCTGATGGGAGGGACTGGCAGGAGATTCCAGGGCAGGAGAAGGGGGTTTGAGGTGCTTATTTTCCTGGTTTCCTGCCTGCTGGGCTATGGGCTGGCGGCTTCCCTCTTCCAAAGACTCCTGGCAGGCAGCCCTCCCCTTTGGTTACTCTTCCCTGTTCCTTCGGGCCCAGTGGTGAACAGTGCTGTCGCTAGCCCTGAGTACTGCACCGTCTCCTGTAAGTTCCCTTAACTCTGACCTTTTTTTAAATAAATACTCCCTTCTTTAAAATCTCTTCAGCTATCTTTTTTTGGAGGTCTTTCTGCCTTCGGCCAGACTCTGACAGACACAATGACATACCTCTGCACCCATTTAATAAATCCCTCTTTTGTTTGGCTAGCCAGTTAGTGTTTGTGCTTGCAGCCAAAAGATCTTAACTGATACACAACCAGTATGGAGACGGCAGAGGAAAGAGCAGTTAATTCTTCATGTGGAGTTGGCGTTTAAGCCAAAAGAAGTGGAATAACAGGCAGAGGAGAAGAGCCTCTAGGGGTCTAGGTTTGCAGAGGGATGCTACAGCTACAGCGGGACCAGAGAGGACCATCACTGCTACTTCAGTGTATATGAACTTGATTGTGTAGTAATGATAGTGTGGGAGTGGGTGAGTCTGCCCAGGGAGAAAATATCAGACTGATGGAAAAGGAGGTCAGAGGATGGAACACTAGAACATAAGGAGTAGCTTAGACAAGGCAGCCAAACTTAGAATGTAGGAAACTTAGAAATGGTCAGAGAAATGGGCAAGTATGCCAGCAGGAGAGGTCCTGGAAGCCAAAGCTTTCCAAAAAAGAAGGTGTGCTCAACAGTGCCATGAAATCCCAGCTTCGGCAGGAAAGGCCTGAGGAGTGTTAGGAGACTCTTGGTGGCCTTGGGGGGAGCCATTTCAGTGCAGTGGGGTGGAGGACAGACTGCAGGGAGTTAAATAGCAAGTGATGAAGAGGTAAAGGCAATGATTGCTGACTCCTCTTTTAAAAAGTTCGATGTGAAGGGAAGAAGAGAACTGGGTCATGAGTTCGAGAGAGTGGGATTAAGGCATTTTTAGGACAGAGGAGACCCTAAAACAGTGCTGTCCAATAGAAATATATGAGCCACATATGTAGGTTTAAGTTTTCTAATGGTTACATTTAAAAAATCAAAACAGGTCACCTAGCACGCAGATCTTGGTTTCTAATGTCATTCTCTGATAAAAGGAACCAGGGCTCTTTGGAGAAATGGCTGATTTTAGGACTAGAGAGGAAATACACAAGATGAGTCTTTATCTTGTAGTGCCAGAGGCAAGGAAGTGCTCAAAACCAAACAATAATAGAGGCCTGTCAAAGAGACATAGGAGCCAACTGAAAGCACTCCCAGTGGCCAAAGCGAGAACAATTTGAGCAACAAAATCAAGTAGCACTGGATTGCAACCACAAATAAACATCCATGAGTCCATAATGGTATAAATAAACGACTGACTAATTATATAAAGGGGGAGAAGAGACAAATCTGTGCAGAAGAACTCCAAATAATTTATTTTGCTACTCCATCCTTAAAGAGGGGGAGCACAACCCCCCACTCCTTAAGTGGGGGCTGCAGATAGTGACTTCTTCCCAGAGGACAGAGGGATAAAGAGTAGCTTTACAGCGGAGAAACTGGACAGACTCTACCTTGCCCAGGTGCTCAAAGTCAACATCAAGTGATGTCATGTTGATACTATGTGCCCTTGATGTGATGAGAATGGTACTTTACCTGTGGTCTTCCTCCCCAAAACCTATAACCCCAGTCTAATCGTGAGAAAAACACCAGACAAATCCCAATTGAGGGACACTCTACAAAATACTGATCAGGACTTCTCAAAGCCCTCAAGCTCATCGAAAACAAGGAAGGTCTGAGAAACCGTCACAGCCAAGAGGAGCCTAAGGAGACACGACAACTGACTATAATGTGGAATCCTATGAGATTCGAGGACATTACTAAAAACGAAGGGGTTTAGGACGGGTCAACTCTGGCTCAGCTGGTTGTCCAGCACACCAGTTCGTGCTCCATTCATTCATTCACTCCTTCACCAGATATTTATTAGGTCCTTATTGCCAGAAAGACACTGGTCTAGGAGGTAGGAATGGATGAGTGTCAAGACCGAAAAGGATTCGCCCTCATGGAGCTAGCTTGGGAGTCGGAGACTAAAGCATAAAAAAACACAAAAAGCGAGGAGCGAGCGAAGAAGTGGAGAAACGCACTCCCGCCGTCGGCCTGGGCCTCCTCACCCGGCAGGAGGGCGAACACACACACGCCCTGCGGAACTCGGTTGGGCACCGGAGCTTCCGGGTCTGGAACCTCCGTGCCCTTTGACCCCAGAAGTCCGGGCGCGCTTCGCGACAGAGCCGTAAAGGCGCGCGGAGTGGAGCATGGCGGTGTACGGCGTGGCGGCGGCAGTACTGGCGGGCGTGGAGAGCCGTCAGGGCTCCATCAAAGGGCTGGTGTACGCCAGCGGCTTCCAGGTAGCGGGGTGCGGGGTGCGGGGTGTGGGGCGCGCGCCCGGGCGGGGGCTAGCCCGGCCGGCCCCCGCCTCAGCCTGTGTCCTCGTGGCCGCGCGCAGAACGTGAAGCAGCTGTACGCCCTGGTGTGCGAGACGCAGCGCTACTCTGCCGTGCTGGACGCCGTGATCGCCGGCGCCGGCCTCCTCAGCGCCGAGAAGAAGCTGCGGCCGCACCTGGCCAAGGTGACGGCGGGGCGGGCCGGGCCGTGAACTCCTCCTAACCTGGTCCCAGCTGCGTACTGTCCACGACGTGACTGTAGCAAGTCGCGTCTCTGAAATGAGTGGGAGCAGCCCCTCGCCGGGGTATGAAATGAGGTGGGATGAAGATGCTCCAACTTCCGGCCTTGTGTGAGAGAGGAAATAGGAACAGAAGTGCAAAGTAGCAATGACAAGGACTCTTTAGGTAAAACAAAAGGATGTTGTCGACAAAGAGGAGGGTTGGGATCCAGAGCTCTACGGGTGAGCAGCCATGGGGAAAGGGTTCAGGACTGGGAAGCAAGACACCAGGTTCACATCCTGGATCTGCCCTTAATGTCTTGAGCTATCTTGGACAAGGTACCTCACTTTTACTGTCTGCACAGGTGGTCTGGTTAGCCTTTCCAGTTCCAACACTATGGTGTTCCAGGCCATTGGTGCTTAGGGCTTTTTCTCTGTTTCCCCGTCCCCAGGTGCTAGTGTATGACTTACTGCTGGGAAGAGGCTTTAGAGGGGGCAGGGGCCGATGGCAGCGTCTGCTGCACCGGCACCAGGCAAGGCTGAAGGCTGAGTTGGCTCGGCTCAAGGTTCATCGAGGTGTGAGCCGGAATGAGGACCTGTTGGAAGTGGGAAGCAGGCCTGGCCCAGGTGAGCTGGAAGGAGTTGTAGGGGTGGGGATAGCCATCAGGCCCTCAGAGGAGACGGCTGTGTTCCTGCTCACTCACTGCTGATTGCTTCCTAGCCACGCAAGTGCCTCGATTTGTGCGGGTGAACACTCTCAAGACCTGCTCCGATGATGCAATTGATTATTTCAAGAGACAAGGTTTCTCCTACCAGGGTCGAGCTTCCAGGTGAGCTTGAAACCCTGCATGGCTGCCCTCATCTACGAAGGTATCTGGGGGCACTGGGGAAACATAGGAAGAGAGGCAGAGTGGTTGCGGCTGCACTTGGGTTTTCTTCCTATTTTTCCAGCAGTTTCTCCATCTCCTTCCAAGGCCTATCTTCCTCCGTCCCTTAAACACTGATTCTTCTGGACTCCCATCCTACCTTCTAATGTATCCCTCAATTTTTTCTCTAGCTCTAACTCCTGCTTCTCACCTGATGATTCCTGTCTCCCAGTTTAGACTTCTTTCTTGTATTACTACCCTCAGGTTCATATCAGTGCTTCACAGACACCACAATCACAGCAGGAGTCAAATTGAATTCATCTTCCCTCTGAACTTTGCACCTTCCTCTTTTTTTAAATTGTTAAATCATGTTTATTCAAGATTTAAGAGAAATCCAAAACAATATTCTTTTTTTTAAAGTGTCTTTTTTTTTTTTGAGGAAGATTGGCCCTGAGCTAACATCTCTTGCCAATCTTCCTCTTTTTCTTTTTTCTCCCTAAAGCCTCAGTACATAGTTGTATATCCTAGTTGTAGGTCCTTCTATTTCTGCTATGTGGGACACCACCACAGCATGGCTTGATGAGTGGTGCGTAGGTCCGCATCTGGGATCTGAACTGGTGAACCCCTGCCACCGAAGTGGAATGCGTGAACTTAATCACTACGCCACTGGGCCGGCCCCCAAAATAATATTCTTAAACATGTTATTGGGTTATTTTGCAGCATCCCCCTGCCCCCCACTTTTTTGAGATATAATTGACATATAATGTATTAGTTTCAGGTATACAACGTAATGATTTGATATTCGTCTTTAGAACTGAGATGTGTTTCCTGGAGGCAGCGTATTATTGGGTCTTGTTTGTTTGTTTATTTGTGAGGAAGATTAGCCCTGGACTAACATCTGTGCCCATCTTCCTCCACTTTATATGGGAAGCTGCCATAGCATGGCTTGACAAGCAGTGCATCAGTGTGCGCCCAGGATCTGAACCCGGCCACCGCAGCGGAGCTCATGCACTTAACCACTACGCCACTGGGCCGGCCCCTTGGGTCTTGTTTTTTAATTCATCCAGCCACTCTGTGTCTTTTGATTGGTGAATTCAACCCATTTACATTAGAGTGATTATTGATATATGAGGGCTTAATACTGCCATTTTATCTCTTATTTTCCAGTTCTATATTTCTTTCCTTTTTTTTTTGTGAGGAGATCAGCCCTGTGTTAACATCTGCCAATCCTCCTCTTTTTTTGCTGAGGAAGACTGGCCCTGGGCTAACATCCATCTTCCTCCACTTTATATGGGACGCCGCCACAGCATAGCTCGCCAAGCAGTGCACACCTGGGATCCGAACCGGAGAACCCCAGGCTGCTGCAGCGGAGCACGCGCACTTAACCGCTTGCACCACCGGGCCGGCCCCTCTTTCCTTTTTTTTTGTGAGAAAGCTTGTCCCTGAGCTAACATCCATTGCCAATCTTCCTCTTTTTGCTGAGGAGGATTGGCCTTGAGCTAACATCTGTGCCCATCTTCCTCTATTTTGTATATGGGATGCCTCCACAGCATGGCTTGATGAGTGGTGGGTCGGTCCATGACTGGGATCCAAACCTGTGAACCCCAAGCTGCCAAAATGGAGCACACGAACTAATCACTATGCCACCAGGCCAGCCCCTCCAGTTCTATATTTCCACTGTTTCTTTTCCCTTGTATTTCTGACTGCCATTTCAGATTGGTGGTTTTCTGTAATGGTTTTCTCAGTTTTCTCTTGATTTATGATTTGTGGCTCTGCTCAGACTTTTTGTTAATCCTCCTCTTTTTGCTGAGGAAGACTGGCTCTGAGCTAACATCTATTGCCAATCCTCCTCCTTTTTTTTCCCCCAAAGCCCCAGTAGATAGTCACAGTTGCACATCCTTCTAGTTGCTGTATGTGGGACGTGGCCTCAGCATGGCCGGGGAAGCTGTGTGTCGCTGCGTGCCCAGGATCCAAACCTGGGCTGCCAGTAGCAGAGCACACGCACTTAACCGCTAAGTCACAGGGCCGGCCTGAGACAGTCCATTTTCTGATAGCCTCTTATCTCCATTAGACTAAGCAGGTTCCATCCCTTTCCTCTTCCTCTTCCGAGTTATTGTCACAAATTGTTCTTTTCTGTATTGTGAGTTTGTGACTAAATTGAAGTGTTTATGGTTATTTTTGATGCTTTCCTTGCCTTTATCTTTTATGTTATAATTGTTTGCTAACCTGTTCTGATAGAGAGCTGCAATTTTCTGATTTTGTTTGTCTGTTTATCTCCTTGCTCAAAGCTTTGTAAACCTTTGCCTTTTTGTTTCAGGTAGGAGGGCTTCCTTCATCATTCTTGTAGGGCAGGTCTAATGGCAATGAACTCCCTCAGCTTTTGTTTGTCTGGGAAAGCTTTTATTTCTCCATCGTATCTGAAGGATAATTTCCCTGGATAGAGTATTCTTGGCTGAAAGTTTTTTGTCTTTCACTATTTTGAATAAATCCTTCCATTCTCTCCTAGCCTGTAATGTTTCTGCTGAGAAATCCACTGAAAGCCTGATAGGGGTTCTTTTGTAGGTTATTTTCTTCTGCCTTGCTGCCCTTAATATTTTTTCTTTGTCATTGACTTTTGCCAGTTTTATATGCCTTGGAGAAGGTATTTTTGCATTGATGTAACTAGGAGTTCTGTTGGCTTCGTTTACTTGTAATTCCAATTCCATTTCCTTCCCCAGGTTTGGGAAGTTCTCAGCTATTATTTCTTTGAACAAGCTCTCCTCCTTCCTCCCACTTTTGCCCCTCTGGAATACCTATAATCCTTATGTTACTTTTCATAATAGAGTCAGATATTTCTTGAAGAATTTCTTCATTTTTAAAAAATCTTAGTTCTCGCTCCTCCACCTGAAGCATTTCTAGATTTCTATCTTCTCGTTCACTAATTCTTTCCTCTGTAAGGTGTGCTCTATTTTTTATGGTTTCTAGATTATTTTCTATCTCATTAATTGTGTTCTTCGTATCCAGAATTTCTGTATAGTTTTTTTAAGGGCTTCAGTCTCTTTGGTGAAGTATTCCTTCTGTTCATTAATTTTATTCCTGAGCTCATTATACTGCCTTTGTGAGTTTTCTTGTAAGTCTTTGAGTTTCTTTATGACAACTGTTTTGAGTTATCTGTCATTTAGATTGTAATCTTCTGTGACTTCAGGTTTGGTTTCTGGAGTCTTGTCATTTACCTTCTGTTCTGCAGTGTTACTGTAGCTCTTTGTGGTGTTTGATGAGTTGATCCTCTGTAGGCACATGTGTGGTAGTATCAGGTTGCAGATTCCACCTGCCATCGCTGGGGGGTGGGCAGGGGCCGTGTTCTCTGATCCCACCCCGTCTGCTGGTAGTTATGCCTGTCGGGCCGCTCTGTTCATGAGGGCTGGGCGCTGCCACTTGGTGGGGAGTGTTCACATGGGTGGGGCCACCTCAGTAGGTGGGTGCTCCCAAGGGCCTGGCTACCACTCTGAAAGCATTCATGTGCAGGCTAGGCTGCCCCCACTTCCACTCAGAGTCCCGTCGGCTCCTGTGTGAGGATCCACAGCCTGGCTGGCTGCCGCTGCAGGGGGGTCTGCCCACCTAGTTCCATTGCTTCCTGGGGATCCAGTCCACTCACCTTCAGATGTATGGCCGTGTGGATCTCTAAGGTGTTCTGTTGTGCTGTGTCGGGAATCCTCTGTTGGTTAATGGATGTCCTCTTAGTTGTAACTTAGAGGGGAGAGACAAAAGGAACAACTCAGTGCACCATGGTACTGATGTCACTCAATATTTGTATATATCGCAAAATGATCACTACTGTAAGTCTGTTTAACATCCATCACCACATATAGTTACAAACATTTTTTCTTGTGATGAGTACTTTTAAGATTTACTCTCTTAGCAACTTTCAAATATGCAGTATCGTAGTATTAACTGTAGTTACCATGTTGTACGTTACACCCCCCCCTGACTGATTTATTTTATAACTGGAAATTTGTACCTTTTGACCTTCACCCATTTTGCTGCCTCCTCCCCCTGCAACTACCAGTCTGTTCTCTGTATCTGTGAGCTAAGTTTTTGTTTTTTGGTTCCATGTATAAGTGAGATCATATGGTATTTGTCTTTCTCTGTCTGACTTATTTCACTTAGCATAATGCCCTCAAGGTCCATCCATGTTTTTGCAGATGGCAAAATTTCATTGTTTTTTATGGCTGAATAACATTCCATTGTATGTATGCCACATTTTCGTTATCCATTCATCCATCTGTAAACACTTAGGTTGTTTCCATGTCTTGGCTGTTGTAAATAATGCTGCATTGAATGTGGGGGTGCAGATATCTTTTCGAGTTATTGTTTTTGTTTCCTTTGAATAAATACCCTGAAGTGGCATTGCTGGATATATGGTAGTTCTATTTTTAATTTTTTGAGGAATCTCCATACTGTTTTCCCTAGTGGCTGCACCAGTTTACATTCCCACCAACAGTGCACAATGGTTTCATTTTCTCCATGTCCTCACCATCAGTTGTTATTTCTTGTCTTTTTGATAATAGCCATTCTGACAGGTGTGAGGTGATATCTTATTGTGGTTTTGATTTGCATTTCCCTGATGATTAGTGATGTTGAGCATTTTTCATGTACCTGTCGGCCATCTATATGGCTGCTTTGGAAAAATGTCTATTCGGATCCTCTGCCCATTTTTTGATTTGATTTTTTTTTTTTTGCTGAGTTGTATGAATTCTTTACATATTTTGGATATTAACTGCTTATCAGATAAATGATTTGCAAATATTTTCCCCCATTCTGTAGGTTATCTTTTCATTTTGTTGATGGCTTCCTTTGCTATGCAGAAGCTTTTGAGTTTGATGTAGTCCCACTTGTTTATTTTTGCTTTTGTTGCCTTTGCTTTTGGTGTCAAATCTAAAAAAATCACTGCCAAGACTGATGTATAGTAACTTCCTGCCTATGTTTCCTTCTTGGAGCTTTATGGTTTCAGGTCTTACATGCAAGTCTTTAATCCATTTTGAGTTAATTTTTGTCTTTGGTGTAAGATAGTGGTCCAGTTTTATTCTTTTACATGTGGCTGTCCAGTTTTCCCAACAGTATTTATTGAGGAGACTGTCCTTTCCCCATTGTATGTTCTTGGACCCTGTGTTGTAAATTGACCATATATGCATGGGTTTATTTCTGGGCTCTATTCTGATCCATTGACCTATGTGTCTTTTTTTATGTCAATACGATACTGTTTTGATTACTATAGCTTTGTAATATAGTTTGAAATAAGGGAGCATGAGGCCTCTCTCTTTGTTCTTTGTCAAGATTGCTTTGGCTATTTGGGTCTTTTTTGGTTCCATACAAATTTTAGGATTGTTTGTTCTATTTCTGTGAAAAATACCATTGGAATTTTTGATAAGGATTACATTGAATCTGTAGATTGCTTTGGGTAATATGAACGTTTTAACAATATTAATTCTTCCAGTCCATGAGCATGGACTATCTTTACATTTGTTTGTATCTTCTATTGTGTCTTCTTCAGTTTCTTTCATCAGTGTCTTATAGTTTTCAGTGTACAGGGTCTTTCACCTCCTTGGTTAAATTTATTCCTATGTATTTTATTCTTTTTGATGCAGTCCTAAATGGGATTGTTTTCTTAATTTCTTTCTAATAGTTCATTGTTAGTGTATAGAAACACAACAGATTTTTGTATATTGACTTTGTATCCTGCCACCTTACTGAATTCATTTATTAGTTCTAACAGTTTTTTTGTGGGTTCTTTAGGGTTTTCTATATGTAATATGTCATCTGCAAATAGTGACACTTTTACTTCTTCCTTTCCAGTTTGCTTGGCTTTTATTTCTTTTTCTTGCCTAATTGCTCTGGCTAGGACTTCCAATACTATGTTGAATTAAAGTGGCAAGAGTGGGCATCCTTGTCTTGTTCCTGATCTCAGAGGAATAGCTTTGAACTTTTCACTGTTGAATACAGTGTTAGCTGTGGGCTTGTCATATATGGCCTTTATTATGTTGAGGTACATTCCCTCTATCATACATACATACATACATACATTTTTATCATACATGGATGTTGAATTTTGTCCAGTGCTTTTTCTGCATCTATTGAGATGATCATATGATTTTTATCCTTCAGTTTGTTAATCTGGTGTATCACATTGATTGATTTGTGGATGTGGAACCATCCTTGATCTTTGCACCTTCTGCATTCCCTATTTTAACCTAAAAATGTCACCATTATGCAGCCATTTGGTCAAGCCAGAAACTGAGTCATCCTAGATGCTTCTCTCCTCTCCTTCCAGTCATTTACTACTCTGCCTTCAGCATCTTTCAAATCCACTCCTTTCGTTTCGTCCTCCTGGACATAGCATACGTGTGGGCACTCATCATTTCCTATCATGTTTGGCAGAAAAATTTCCTAAACTGGTGTCCCTACTTCCAGACTTTCTCGCCATGTTTGTCCTTGAGGTTGGCTGCAGAAAGATCTGAAACCAGATCTTACTTACCAGCTGGTAACTCTTTCTTGGCTCTCTGTTGTGCTGTGCCTCCTCTTCCTTTCCAGGCCCATCTGCCATGGTGCTCTGTGCACCTGGTGTTCCCACAATGGTTGCTGCTCTCCACCCCATTCTTCCCCACCCCTCCCCTGGACTCATCTACCTCCCGGTCTGTCCTTTGACAGCTCTGGGAAGCCTCCTCTGCTCCCTCCCTTTCCTTCCATCTGTTTTAGATGTTCCTCCTTTTGCCTCTAGCGTGTTGCGTAGAGACCAGGCTGGTAGAGTAGAGAACGGCTGCATTTGGGTTTGAATTCCAGCTCTGCCACTCTATAGCTTTCCGAACTGAGATGTTGTTCTCTACGCCGGTGTCTACATGGGTCAGGTAGAGTGGACAGTGTTCCTTTGCAGAGTTTAGTGAATGTAGCTTTCACCTCAGCTCCTCACATTACTAACTCCTCGCCCATCAGGGATCAGCTCAGCACTCCCTCCTCCACCCCATAAAGTAACCTCTCCCCGAGGTTATGTTTTAACAGTACCTGCTAATAGTAAATGAGTGCCTAATTTATGCCAAATATTTTTCTAAGTATTTTGCCTGTGTTAACTCATTGAATCCTCACAACTACCATTTTCCAGAAGTGCAAACAGAAGCTGAGATGAAGGCACTTGCCGATGCTCCTGCCAATGGTAAATGGTGGAGGTGGGATCCTGAACCCAGAGTCTGGCCTGAGAACCAGGGCATTCTCTTAACTGTTGCCTCTATCTTCTCACCCTGTTTATTTCTTCATAGCAGTTTTAAGCATTTGTTGCATGCATGAACAGTTAAAGAGAGGTAACGGTGTAAAATGTCCGGCCTGGTGCTCGGCATGGAGAAACTAAAAAACGTTGAATGAATGGTTCTTATTCCTTGGCAGCCTCGAGGACCTAAGGGCCCTCAAAGGGAAGTGTTTTCTTCTGGATCTCTTGTTGCCAGAGCTGCTTGTGTTTCCTGCCCAAACGGATCTGCATGAACATCCATTGTACCAAGCCGGCCACCTCATCCTGCAAGACAAGGTAGGGAAGATGGGTGGAAAAGGGAAGAGCGTGTGGGAATGAGCAGCCTGGGGTCTCTGTTCCCCCAGCCACTGTGCTCTGCCTGCCAGGCCAGCTGTCTCCCAGCTATGCTGCTGGCTCCGCCGCCAGGTTCCCACGTCATTGATGCATGTGCTGCTCCAGGCAATAAGACCAGTCACTTGGCTGCTCTTTTGAAGAACCAAGGGTGAGTGCCATCGTCAGATAGAGAAAGGGGATGGGGTCTGAGCTCCTGTATTTTGTAAGAAGAAATGAGGAACTCTTTATTCCAGTAGGTCATGAAGGCTGAAAGGAGGATTTTTCCTTTAAATACTTCCTTCTGGACCTAGGGCAGTTCATGGTATAGCCCCAAGCTCAGCTTCCCAGTGGGCTGCAGGTGTGAGATGTGAATCCCTTAGGCCTTGGGGCAGAGTCCCCAGGCCAGTTACCTCTAACCACTGACCCTTGTAAGCCATTTAAATATTATTTTCTATGTGTCCTGACTTACTGTACATGTTATTATATGTCAGAGCTCTGGGCTCTTATAGATGTTCCATAAATTCTCAGTTAACCTCTACTCTGCCCTCTTCCCTAGGAAGATCTTTGCCTTTGACCTGGATGCCAAACGCCTGGCGTCCATGGCTACTCTGCTGGCCCGGGCTGGAGTCTCGTGCTGCGAGCTGGCTGAGGAGGACTTCCTGGCAGTCTCACCCTCAGACCAGCGTTATTGTCAGGTCCAGTACATCTTGCTGGATCCTTCTTGTAGTGGCTCTGGTGAGATGGGGAGAAAGCATTGCCAAGGGACCCACAGATCCCAAGCACCCTTAGAGAAGGGGTAGTAGTTTGTTTTGGCCTTGGGTTTAAGTTCTCACTCTAATCATATTGTGACCCTGGGGAAATGTTCTCATGTAAGAAGTGGGGATTTCGGTACGAAATAAGGCATTCTGCAATGAAAACACCCTTTTCTCAGGTATGTTGAGCAGACAGCTGGAGGAGCCTGGGGCAGGCACACCTAGCAAGGAACGCTTGCATGCCCTGGCAGGGTTCCAGCAGCGTGCTCTATGCCACGCGCTCACCTTCCCGTCCCTGCAGCGCCTCGTCTACTCCACGTGTTCCCTTTGCCAAGAGGAGAACGAAGACGTGGTACAAGGTGCCCTGCAGCAGAGCCCAGGAACCTTCAGGTAGTGGCTGTCTACCAGGGTCTTGGGGACGGGCTGCTGTCTTTTACCTACGTGTCTGTGCTATTTCTTCTCCACAGGCTAGCTCCTGTGTTACCCTGCTGGCCCCACCGAGGCCTTAGCACTTTTCCAGGTGCCGAACACTGCCTCCGGGCCTCCCCTGAGACCACGCTCACTGGTGGCTTCTTCGTTGCTGTACTTGAACGGGTAGAGGTGCCAGGGTGAGTGAGTAGGGGGCCTGCTCGGAAGATGCTGGAACACCGGGACACATCTAACTGATGTACTTTTCTTCTAGCTCAGTCTCACAGGCCAAAGCATCAGCACCAGAACTTTTACCCAGCCCTGCCCCAAAAAGAAAGAAGAGGCAGCAAAGAGCAGCAGCTGCTCCTGGCACACTGCCTTGCACACAGCAGGTGCTCAACTTGGGTGGGAGGGAGGAAAGGAAGATACCAGTTCTCCCCCCAACTTAGCCTTGGGTCCTCAGCCCCAGGCAGCAGTTTGGTTTTTCAAAGTTTCTGTTCTTTTTATTGCTGTAGGAAGGAAACTGGTAATGCTACTTCTCCAGCTAGAAAGACGGAGTGGATTTCCTCATCCTTTGGGTCCCCTCCATGGGCCATGTTCTTGCTGGTGAGAGAAGTGCTGCCCACAAAAATAAAAGGCAGGATGGTCTATGATAGGTCACCGTTTTTTTTATTCTTAATGACATAAGCAAGGAGAAAAATCTCACATTCATACTAAAAATTCCAACTAGACTCAACAGGAATTAAATTTTTATTTGTGATGGAAAGTCCCAGCCTCCCGTTCCTGTCCAGTGCACGTACATGTACACAAACACACACACACACACACTCAGGCCATGCCAGGACACCCTCTTCAGGGGGTTCCTGGACCAAGTGTCCTGCCTGTGGAACTGAGGTAAACTAGCTGAGAGGACTAAAACTAAGAGGCTCTACCTTACATAAGGTATAAGCAGAAGCTTGATTTCTAGACCTGTGCCCACCCCCCCCCCCAATCCTGATCGGTATTTGGGACTTGAGGTTCAGGCCCCTCCTCAGCTTCACGCACAGTTAAGGATTAACAGAGCTCTTCATGGGGGCGGGGAGGTGCAGCCCGGTGACAAAACATTCAACCTCAGTCACAAAGGGGGGAGGGGGGGACTAGTTACATCTATGTCACATTATTTATAAAATAAGAAGTACATTTCATATAATGTGTCCAGAAGAAGCTCTAGTCCCTCAGGAAAGCTGCCTGGGACAGTATTTGAGCCTCTTCCTCACACAGGCATAACTTAACTATACAGCTAATTCCTAGTCAATAGCATTTATACTTAACCACCTCAATGAACCAAGCTTGAAGGAATTTAAAAGGCAATTTAGCTTAAATACAAAAATAAATTTTTATTTTGTTAAAAAATGTTTAAATATTTTTTTTCTTTTAATTTAGACACACGCATTCATACTTCTCCCAAAGAGGATGGGCATGGCAGCAAGGCTCTTGGGCCTGGGGTACGTGCTTTGGGAACAAAGGAAGAAAAAAGGGGAAGGGCTGGAGGCTTTGTTGGGGGGAAAAAACTAAGAATTTTAAAGCGTGGTTCATTAATTTAGGTTTTCTAACATACTGGGGGTAATCCAGCCTCCATTCAGGTCAGGCAGGTGGGAGAGAAACGGGGAAGAGGTCTTGGCTTCCTCCGGGGCTGCCAGCCCTTGAAGTCAAAACACCCTTTGAAAATCCAGGAGTTGGCACCTGCAGCCATAAAGTGGTGCTCCTTTCCACATTCAATTAGCTAGGCCCCAGAAACTTGAGACAGGTAAGTCCGGCACTACGAACATGCCGCCACTCATACAATTCAATTCTTCCTCCAAACTCGATTCAAAGAGCAACAGACATGAACATCAGACAAAGTAACACAGGACAAGGCTTTAAACATACAATCCTGGAGAAAGAGACAAGCCCAATGAGGCCAGTGGGGAAGGTGGGCGAGGAGGCAACTGAAAGCAGCAGTGGGCATCCTGCCTGCTCCAAGAGCTTCCCCCCTGGAGTGAGGTATCACCCCTGGATCTGCCAGGCTAACAGTCTTGGGCCACCAAGGTTTTAGGGGCCAAACTGGCAGAGAGGGTTGGGGACAAAACACTGACTCAGACTTGGCAGGAGGCGAAACAGCAGGAGCAGCACCCACTGGGGTCTCCACGGCAAAGCTAGATTCAAGATCATTTCAAAAGGGATTGATCTTGGGAGGAACCAGTGAGGGACAAAGCAGCAAGAAATGGGGTAACAGAGTCCCCTAACGGGACCAGAGGAGGAGAACCACTTTTTATAGCCAAGCCAAGCAAGGTAAAGCTTTAGGGATAACCCGTTTCCCCCAATCTCACCAAATGCGTATCGGAGATGCAAGTGGGCGAGGGTGGTACCTGTCACCTTCCAACAAAGATGGCTCTCGGGGGAAAGGTGGGAAAGGAGGCCGCCTGACTAAGCTTACACACAAAACAAGAGGGAAGTAAGTGGACAGTATGTACAGATGTTTCCTTAGTTCTTTCCAGCCTCACCAGTGGAACTGTTCAAGTATAGGCATCAGGCTTCTGCCCTGCCACATCCTGCCTTCCCTTCATTCAAGAGGCCTGAGGTTCCTGCTTCCTCGAGAAGAAACAGCCCCCAGGGCTGCCATTACCTCCCTGGTGGCTGAAGCCAGAAATCTGGGGTAGGATTGCTTCATGGAACTAGAAGGGTTGGTCAGAGGCTCTTCCTAGCAGGTGCTGAGGTCCAGATTTGGGCAGGGGGTGGGAGGAGTGGGGGCAAGGGACAAAGGCTATTTCTTGCGGGTGTGCTGCCTCCGGGCCTGCAGTCGCTGCCGAGCCCCGGGGGTCTTGGATCCTGCACCAATGGAAAACGAAGGGGCCGCCGAGCCTGGAAAGATGCAACAAGATCTCATCAGGGCAGCTACCACCTGAGAACACTTCTCTGGGTGCCCTAATTTCGGGAAGGTTAGGCCAGCAGAACACCGGGTGCTTGAATAGGTCTTCTCGAGCTATATCAATCGCTTTGGGGAAGGTGCCTATTTAAAATGCAAAATCCCAGAATCCCAGATAGTCTGGGATTGAGGCACAGGAAGGTATTTTTACCTGGCTTTCCAGTGGTCTGGGAAATTGTGCCCGAGATGGCTCCTCTCTGACTTCTGCTGCCCAACTGCAAACCTGGGTTGTGGTGGATGTCCGGCCACATCTGTCTCATGCTTATCAGCCTGATCTTCCCCAGAGAGCCAAGAACCTGCCACCCCACCCGACTCCCTCTTCAGAGAGGAATAAGCAGGTCACACTGGCAACGGAGAGACCTGCTGCTTACCAAAAGGTCCGACTCCCACAAAGCCTTGGGTGGGTGCTGAGGATGCCCCAAAGGAGAGGCTGCTGCCGGACGTGCCCACCCCAGGGGCAGGGGTGTTTTGACCAAAGGTAGGTGTGGAGGTGCCTAGAATAAAGAGCAGAGAACTGTAGAGACTAGGCCTGTGAGCAGAGGGCATAAAAGCAGGTGGTAACGAACCTAGGGAGGAGGTCTGCTCTCGGTAGGGGCATTCCGTTCCCGAGAGGATACCTTCGCCCCACCATAAGGAATTGCATAGGATAGTTAAGTCTTAACACCTTGTGCTGCAGGGGAGCCTGACCACCTCCCAGCCTGCTAACCACTGTGCTGCAGCAGAGAAAAAGCCCCTCAGTATTGCCTTCTGGCCACCTAAGAGTAGGGCCTCTGCATTCCCTTGGCCACCAAAGCACAGAAGAGGGGGACACTTGGTGGACTCCCACCTTCTAGCTTGACCAGGTCACCTCCCTTCTTCCATCAGGACTAACCACGTTATGCCTCTTCTCCCTGTTTACCCATCCCCTCCCTTCCAGAAACCTGAGCCTTCCACCAAACTCATCACCACTCCACTCCCCGCTATTGGTCCCCTATCTTCCCAGGGGCCCCCCGGAACTCAGTCATCAGCCACCTCCCTTGCCGTCACTGAACCCTGGGGTCCAGTGCTGATGCTGCAGGGCAGCCTGTGTTTTCTCGTGCACTTGTCTTGGCCTGAGTGGGCAAGTATCTTTCTTGCTCCCTGAGGCCCTGATCTTGCCACACCAATCTTTTCTATGCTGCCTCCGCCACTCACTCCTGTGTCACCTGTCACCACCAGGAACTGCTCTAGCTCCCAAATTGCCTGCACTTTCTTCCAGCTCCCACTCATGCATCTCCTCAACCTCATCCACACCTCCAGTCCACTGCCCCTTCCGCTACACCTGCTTGAGTTTCAACAGGTTGGGTTTCACCAGCTATCTGCTCATTTTAGGTCTACACCCCAACTGAAGGCTGCCGGGGGAAAACACACAACAGTGCTGACTGGCCTCACTTTAAATTCACAACCACAATTTTCCAGCCCTCAAAACTGCCTGGCAATTCTACTACACTCTCTCATGACGTTCCTTTTCCCACTCTCCAAAATGACTATTTCAAGAGGCTCTCCTTTGTATACATTTCACCCTAATCCACTCCCCAAGATCTTCTCTCACATTTAATGCAGACAGAAGCTACCAGGATCAAAACTCCTTGTAATTCATCTTCCAAATGGCGATTAAGATCACTTCATTCTTCTGCTTGAAATTCTAGTGATTTCCCTTGTTACTTCAAATCCAAACATTTAACCCTGGCCATGAATGATCTCAACTCTGCCTGCCTCTCACCCTCATTTTATACCATTTTCACTTTTAAATCTCTAGCCACACCCTGCTTTTCTCTGTTTGTGAACATACCAGGCTTGTTGGGCCTCCGGGCCTCTGACTGGCTATCTCCTGTGCCTGCCAAGCTTTCTCTCTCACATGCACCTACCCACACTCCCAACCCCTTTTTGTCACAAATACAGACTTGGCTTGAATTTATTTCCTAAGAAAGGCCTTCCTTGACTATCTAAATAGCTCCTCCACAGTCATTAATTGCATATTTTATTCTGTCAAGACATTTATTACTACCTGACATTATATTCATATATTTAACGTCTGTCTCTTCACTACCGTAATGTAAAGCTCCATAGGAACAGAGACTGTGCAAGCACCTAACACAGCACCTGGCACAGCAGACCCATTCCAAATCTTACCTCCAAACACAGGTTTGCTCTCAGGCGTGCTGGCCACATTGAAGGCAAAGGGTGTGCTCTGGCCGGGTGGGCCCAAGGTGTTCTGACTCAAGCCTCCCCCAAAAGGGGTTGTGCTGCCAGTGGTCCCACTCTGTCCTCCTCCAAAGCTGAAAGCTCCAGAGGTTGAGCTGGTGCCTGGGGTAGCCACATTGATCCCAAAGCCCCCACTGCCAGCTGGGGCTGCTGATCCCCCAAACGTGAAGGGTGATGGTGTTGTGCTGCCAAACACTGAGCTACTCGTCCCGCTGCTGGTGGTCTGGGTTGTAGCTCCAAAGCCAGAGGTGGTGGCTGCACCAAAGGAGAAAACAGCCGTGGTGCTGCCAAAGGCTGGCTGAGTGTTGGCAGGGGTACCGAAGGCGGAGGCTGCGGGTTTTAAACCACCAAAAGCCGACTGTGCAGCACTGCCAAAGGCTGGCTGGGCAGGGGCTGGCGCTGGAGTTGCAGTCGGGGCTGCAGCTGCAGAGTTTCCAAAAGTGAAAGAGCTGCCAAAGCTGGGGGCAAGGCCAGGCTTGGTAGCCCCCTGCTGCTGCCCATCAGTGGTCCCAAATGCTGGCTGGGGGTTGGCTCCTGGATATGCTGGGAGAGGAGGCTTGGTGCTTGAGCCAAAGGGAATGTTAAATGCTGGGGTGGTAGTGCTACTGAATGTCAGCGTCGGCTGGCTGGTGGTGACGGGGGCTGAGGTGGTAAGGGTGTTGCCAAAACCAGTAAAGCCGGCAGTGCTGCTGCTGGTGGCTGTCTGAACAGCACTGGGTAGGGACTGGCCAAAGGTGGTGACAGTCGTTGAAGCAGGCATGGCAGGAGGCTTGCCAAATTGGAATATGGAGCCCACAGCTGGGGTGAAGCTGGCCCCAGAGGCAGGGGGAGTCCCGAAGAGGAAAGGCTGTGAAGCACAAGTGGTGGTGCTAGTCAGGCTGCTCATGGTGCTCATCACACTGCTCACACCAAAGCCAAATGCAGGCTTTGGAGCAGAGTCTGCAGATGTGCTGGCTGTGGTCACAGAAGCCACTGTTGAGGTGGCACTGGCCTGGCCAGTGAAGAGAGAGACGCTTGTGGTAGTGGCTGGAGTAGTTGTTTGATTGAAGGAGAAGGGAGTTGACAAGGGCACAGATGTAGGTGGCCCCATGCTGCTAAAGATAGGCTTAAAAGTGGGGGGAGAGGTGCTGGTAGTCGTGGGGAGGGCAGAGCTGGAAGATGCTGTGGTTGTGACCTTGGAAGGGCTAGACTGCAAAGGGTCCTCATTCTCGCTATTAAGTGGGGCCGCAAAAATGGGCTTGAACATGGGAGATGCTGAAGACACAACAGGAGCCGCAGAGGCAGAAGGGTTAGCAGGGGGGCTGCTCAGCATTCCAAACAGAATACTTTGCTTGGGGGTGGGGGATGGGGCAGACAGGGCTTGGGATTTGGTGGATGTCTCAGCCTGAGGGCCTGGAGGTGCCTTGGTGATGTCAGTAACTGGTATTGTGGAAGAAGCAGGGGTCAGCCCCAAGACACTGACTGTGGATTTCGAGTCTGAGGAGGTGCTGGGAAGGGGCCCTGACTGTGAAGAGCCAAGAGGGGCCAGAAGGCTGGGCGTCTTCGGAGGTGAATGGGCCACAGTGGTTGCCACTCCAGCAGATTCTGGAAAGAAGAGTAGAGAAAGTGAATTCTGAATACAGATAGTGCCCGACTCACGATGGTTCAACTTATGATTTTTTGACTTGACGATGGTGCACAATGGTGTGAAAGCAATACACATTTAGTAGAAAGCATACTTCGGATTTTGAATTTCCATCTTTTCCTGGGCTAGCGATATGGGGTACGATACTCCCTCCTGAAGCTGGGCAGAAGCAGCAAGCCACAGCTCCCAGTCAGCCACATGATCGGATACACCTACAACCATGCCATACCCATACAACCATTCTGTTTCTCATTTTCAGTACAGTATTCAATAAATTACATGAGATATTCAACACTTTATTATAAAATAGGTTTTGTGTTAAGATGATTTTGCCCAACTGTAGGCTAATGTAAGAGGTTTTGAGCATTTTTAAGGTAGGCTAGGCTAAGTTATGATGTTCAGTATATTAGGTATATTAGATGCATTTTTGACTTAGGATATTTTCAACTTAACGATGGGTTTATCAGGATGTAACCCCAGGCTTATGAGGATGTAAGCTCAGGAAGATCTGTACCTCAAACATGATGGTATTCAATGCTTTTGTATCCCCCCTGTGCCTAACACAGTGCTACGGCTTCAGGGGTCAGTCAACAAATATTACTAAATCTATACCAGAGGCCCTTAAAGTATTCATTCTTTAAAATCAAGGCGGTGTTCATTATTTCTACCCTTCACAGATCATAAGAAAAACAGAAGGGGATAAAACTTGGCCTGAGGGGGCTAAATGTGTGAAAACTAAGAAAAAGCCAATCACTTGAACTCAAGTCCAGTTAATTACCTAGATACATCTTACTCTCTAACAAAGATTTACTATATTTGCCTACCATGTGCCAAGTGCAGAGCATGTAGCCATGAACCAAACAGTCTTTGCCCTGAGCCCTGGGAGAGTCTGATACCTAACATATACTACTTTATGATAAAGTGCAATAATAGGAGTGTGTACATATGCAAGGCCATAAGGCATGGAACAATCAACAGACCCTTGGAAACCTGGAGGCAAAAGTAATTAATATTATCTTGTGCCTGTGGTCTAACAAGCATGTGACAAGACATGTTAACCATGTGATCTCACTTACATTTCAGAGATACCTCATGAGGTCAGCAGTATTCTCATTTTAGGCTCAGAGCAGCTAAGGAATTGCATTTTAAATCAAGAGCCACTGACTACCACAACTATGCTGCCTTCTCAAGCTTTAAGTGTGGCAGCCTCCCTTCCCTACAGTTTCCTGATTAGAGAATTCTGAAGCTCTCAGGCTTGCACCAGCTCAGGTTTGGTAAGCCAGAGTAGGTTCTACCCTTACAACAATTTCCAGTGACTGACAGGCATGATGCTTTTACTTCAACCTAAACAAAGGTTGATGTCATTATATGCTCCACAGGAAGCTCTCCAACTAACCTGGGAAGGATGGTAGGCCTGGGGAATTCTGCATCTTCTTCAAGCTCTCCAATAGTGGGTTAGTGCTTGGGGCTGGGAGGGAGGTTGGGGAGGAAGCAGTCCCAGAAGCAGGCAGGGTAAAAGGAAAAGAAGGCTGAGTGGTAGGTGGGCTCTCAGTGACAGAGTTTGAGGCAGCGTCTAAGGAAAAAAGAAAAGATTAAATTGTCCTCCACTGTTTGGGAATTCTTTCCAGTGGCGTTATCACAGAGCACGAGGCTGCTCAGGTCTCAGTATAACTCATTTAGAAATGCTTCCCCTCAATGTCCATGCTCATTGTTCTCCCAATTCTACCAAGGACCCAAATGGATTTCTCAGATGAGAAAGACCAAAGGAAAACCCTCTCTGGAGTATGAAACTCATCTATATTCCTTACCAGTCTTATCCTCCAAGACCTTGTTAAACCATTGTAACGAAGCTTTCTTTTCCAAGTCTAGATCTTCAGCAGTGATTGAATAACCAAGCTGGGGAGGTGGAGGCTACCAAACAGAGAAAGAAGTCAAGTCAATCAGAAGAAACTAGAACAAACCTGTATGTAGCCCTCTGAAGACTCAGGCGAGCTAAGCTGGGAGCTAAAAACTAAGCTGGGTTGGGCAGGGGTAGATAAGACCATACCAAGGTCAGCTGGTCCCCTCGTCTGGAGGGCAGCAGCTGAATCTTCCGTTTACGTTGTCCAGAGCTGCCAAGTGTAGATGGGGAGCTCCACGAGTTTTGTTTCTTCCATGTGGCTGCATCTGCAACTAAAGAAAGAAACACAGACTTGTTTTCTTCTTCCTCTCTTCCAGAAATAGACAGGTTTGTCTATCCACCTGGTTGTTAACGTTGAATTTTCCCTGAGTATCTCTGAAAGACTCTATCTTCCATGGTGTGGGCTCTTGGATGTTTTTTGCAAGATTATTCGAATAGTCAAGAGAATATAGGGGCCGGCCCTGTGGCTTAGTGGTTAAGTGCGCGCACTCCGCTACTGGCGGCCTGGGTTTGGATCTGGACGCGCACTGACACACTGCTTGTCTGGCCATACTGAGGCAGCGTCCCACATACAGCAACTAGAAGGATGTGCAACTATGACACATAACTATCTACTGGGGCTTTGGGGAGAAAAAGGGGGAAAAAAAAGGAGGAGGATTGGCAATAAATGTTAGCTCAGAGCCGGTCTTCCTCAGCAACAAAGAGGAGGATTGGCATGGATGTTAGCTCAGGGCTGATCTTCCTCACAAAAAAAAAAAAAAAGAATATAAAGAGAAAATTGCTCCAAATGCATGTATATAACTGCTTACTGGACAATAACTACCTGGATTGCTCACAGATATCCCAACCTAAGCTTATTCCTACCCCACAGTTATCCTGGGTTTTACTGTATTTTCTGTGTCACCTTTCTCCCTTACCAGACTATAAACCTCTAAAGGACAGGAACTTCTACCTCTGTATCTACCAGGCCTTACACACAGCAATGCTCAATGCGTGTTTTCAAATAGGCAGTACTCTATACATCCTGCATCAATACTTAGACCACCACCATGAGCCACTCCTGTGCATTTATCAACTCACCCTTTTCTCCCTGGGACTCCTTGTCTGTTACCAATGGAGTCGAAGAACTAGAATGATGAGAAAGCTCCTCTTCTCTGTAGGAGGAAAAGGCAGAATTAAGTTTAGAATGACTTTCTGACAAAAAGTACTCGATAACTTCTCATACCCTCCTAACTACCAACTGGCCAAAGTCCAGAACAACCATGATTTAAGATCTCAGTATGCCAGGACAAAACTAAAAAGTCAAAAGAAAATTCCTACAGAAATGAAGGGAGGCAGTTCATGGAAGCCTCAATAAAATCTTTGTTTTGAAACAAGCACAAAATAACCATCTTCAAAACCTTACTTACAACCTGCCAAGTTGCTGAGAGTTCTAGTCACAAATCTGATCCCTAAGAGTGGCATTCTAGTTTTCTGTAGGTACCTAAAGGGTCAGCTGGACTCAAGAACATGAAGTCTACTGCCTGCTGACGTTCTTCACTCTGTTCAGTCTATTCTGTGTGGCCTCTATGCTTACACCCCAATCACTCACACTGCAGTAGGGGGAAAAGAGCCAGAGGTCCTTACAGCTAGGACGTAAGAACTATAAGAGATGACAGCAACTCAGGTTGGTACTTCACTGTCCTTCTAGAAGTAAATTTCTTGCCTTCTCCAAATCAGAGTTGCAGAAAGGCTAAGAGGCAAGTAAATGTCCCTCCTTTCCTGACCTCTCATTAATCCACACAGCAAATCATAACTGATTACCTTATTTTCTTTGCTGGCCTCTCTGGTGTCTGGGAGCGGGATGAGGCTGGGCTTGAGAAGGGTGATGAACTGGGACCACTTCTCTTCCATAGCTAAAAGTTAAACAAAAGTAACATGACTGGCCCTAGTTTTGATAGTTCAGCATTCAACCTTCAATATAATTTTGTGGTTCTATTCATCACTGCATATAATGTCTCCAAAAGGAGACTAAAAAAGTGATTAAAAAATCTTTCTTCGTGAAGAAAGGCTCCTGACAAGAAAGTCAACTCCCAGAATTAGCTATGGGAAACAGAAGTCTGAAACAGAAATGGAATGCTAACTAATAAATGTAGAAGGAATCAATGTACTTTTTGCATATATTAAAAAGTGGAATATTACATTCATAATGGTTTAGAGCTATGATGCAGGCAAGTTTACTCTATATTGCCTATGGAAATAAAGTAAATTAAGAAACTGTTCCAGTGAACATAAGCCAGTAATCTAATTTAGTCTTGCTTTCATTAAATTTTCAGTTTTACTTTATTAACTTTATTTTAAAAAATATGCTATCATGACATTTATGACTTTTGCAACATCTATGGTATTTACTGTTATATGATAATTATCTATATATCTGTCTCTTCTACCAGGCCGAGTCCCTTGATAGCAAAGATGGTCTGTTTTCATCTCCTCCTCCTTCAAACTGGCCTAGCAGCAAAGTAACTGACAAAGAGTAAGCACTCTACAAATAGTTTCATTAAGTCTTTAGCCTAATTACAGAGATACTAAAGTATCACTGTGGACATTTTTCCTACTAAGAAGCTTCTAGTGATTTCTAACTCAGTAACAGTTGTATCATATAAGCACAAACAAGGAGACAACAATGCTTAATAAAAGTTCAAAAGAGGAAAAGAGAGATTTAAAATCAAAGACAAGTGGTAAGATAGTGGAACAGTTCTATAAGACTAATATCAGAAAACTCAAGGTTCAGAATGACCTTGAGAAAAATGCTGAATCAGTAACTGTTTTTTATGTTATTCTCAGGTAAAGAATAAGAAAGAACAGATATTTGAAAAAAACAAATGCTTTTACACCTTACATTTTTAATGAAGTGCCAAAGGTGATTCTGATGTTTAGCAGGGTTGAGGACAACCTGGTTCAACAATTGGGGGGAAAAATATTTTATCTCTACTTCACAGAACTGTACATACACACACAATCCAGGTATAATAAAGATTTACATGTAAGAAGTCTAACAAACAAAAGAACCATAAAAAAATAGATGAATTGTTAAATAACTTGGGGTAGGGAAAAGACTTTCTATTCCAGAAACAAAAGAAAGAAAACTGACAGACTGTTACATAAAAAATAAGAATCTCTCCATATAAAAATATTGCCACATGGGAAGGAGACTTTACTGTACACCCTTTGTACCATTTGAATTTTTAACCACACTAATGTTTCCATAAAATAGAAATGAAATCTATGTGGGCAGGAAACAAACTCCCTAAAAAAACAAAACCATAAATAAAATTGAAAGGCAAATATTTTTAATTAAAGTCATGAGTTAATATCCTTAACGTGTAAAAATGGAAGTCTTACAATTCCATATAAATATAATGAACATATCAAATGAAAAGTGGGCAAAGACTACAAGGCAAATCATAAAAAGAAATAGTCTATGCGTCTAACAGTCAATTTAGTTCTGCATCCTAATTCAATTTTCGTTGAGTTCCTACTTCATAAAGGTACTACACCCTTATACTTTACACAGAATGCAAAGATAAGCAAGACCACTCCCAACATCAAGAAGTTTACAATCTGGAAAAGAAACAGGACAGTACACAAACTGACTATAACAGCCAAAAGATAAAAGAGGTCTCTAAAAAGGAGCCCAAGAAGAAAGAGATTATGCAGAGTTTGGTTAGAAGAATCAATAAAGGACGAAGGTGACATGTGAGATGGCCCTTCATGATGTGCCAAAAAACACCTGAAGACAAACTTTACAGGCTTGCAGTGGGATGGACGCATCATTCCAGATGGAGAACAGAACAAGGAAAGAGAAGGAAGCAGGGAAGTATTAGGTGCTCTTAGAAGATAATAACTTTTCTGGTTTGGCTTAAATATAGGGTATATACAAAGGAATAGTAAGAGACAAGGTCACAAATGCAAGCTAGGGGTTTGAAGTTATGAAGTCCAGGGTAAATATTCCTACTTTGGAAAACGACAAGTCTTATAAGACACATGGAGGTATCATGCCATGTACAAAGAGGTCAGAGGAGAGTTCACTTTCTATAATTGGTACCAGTCTAACATTTGCAATGATTTTATAACATCAAAGCTAGAACTTCTAGTTTGAACAGCTGTTGTTTTGGGTGTTTACTAGTGTTCCTCTGGAAAAATACAATTAAGTCAAATATCTATACCATCACTTGCACCAAATATGAGAGCTGTCATCTATATTGGTTACTGGGGATATTCACTAGTTCAGTACACATTTCTTTCAAAGAAAAGCTTTAACATAAAGAATTTTCATATTACTTTAGTCTCCCTAAGACTTACTTCTGAGAATTTATCATATACTCAAATATCACACATCAATAGGGGACTGGTAACTACTTACAATAGACTGCACATTAGTATTAGTGTCAGTGTGTGTATTTCTTGCAGCAGGTCACAGGCTCTACTGAGAGGGAGGGTGCTTAAAACAAAATCTGACCATGTTTCAGACAATGGCTGATTATGTTGTTTTAGACCAACCCTCCTCCTGCTGAGGACAAGAAGAAAATGCTGAAGAAAATATGAAATACATCTGTTTGAAGGTATGATGGTACGGAAGAGCTACCAAGGTGGTGAGACCTTGTGGAAACAAGACAGGGAAGAGGAGCCAAGAGGTGAGCCCCACATTCATGCCGACTTTTTCCCTCAGGGTGATTGCCAATTCCAAAAGTAAAAGCTGCAGCTGAGAGGCTAAGAAAAGCTTCGGCAGTCTCTTAAGGCTGGAAAGACAAAAACTGGAATTCAGAGCTTTCCAAAGTAGAGGGGCCCTAATAAACGCTTCAGGCTTTTGGTTGGGATCCCAAAGGCTACATACTAGGATGCAGGGCCAATCAGAAATAAACCAGCCCTCACAAGAACCGACAACCAACACAGAATCATGTCAGTTCCAACAGGACAGAGGTCACCTGCTCCTGTCCTAGCTGCTTGCTAGAGGCGAAAGCACCTTCCCTGGAGGAAGACACCATCAGGCAGTTTCAAGTCCTCATGACAGGTTTTTTCAATGTCTGACAGAAAACGAGAAACAAAATGACAACAAAATCAAGCATATACAAAGATAATGATTGATTTAATCAATAACCAAGAGAAAAAAAGCAGACACCAGAAACAGACCACAGAAGAGTCAAATACTGGAGTCACTGAACAAGACTTCAGAGTAACTGTTTAAGAATTAAATGACAATATGGAGAATCCTGGCAGACAAATGGTAACTAAAAAAAGAATACAATAACTGAAATTAAGAATGCAATAGATGGGTTAAATGGCAGATGCCACAAAGCTGAAGAAAATTAGTAAACTAGAAAACAGAAGAACTGATGTTGGGGGAGACAAAATGATGGAAAACACAAAAAGAGACAAACATGGGACACAATGAAAAGGGCTAACGTGTCCTGGAATACTAGAGACAGGAGAGAAAACAGGGCAGAACAATATCTGAAGAGAGAATGACTGAGAGTTTTCCAAAACTGTCAAAAGACATCAAGCCACACAACAAACTCCAAGGAAGATAAACCACAGCTGAGCACTTCATCATAAAATTTCTTTTCAAGTGAAGATGGAACATTTACCGAAACTAAACATGTGCTTGGCCATAAAGCAAATCTCAAAACATTTTAAGGATTGATTTGAGTATATCCTCTGACCTAGTGGAATCAAGCTAAAAAAAAGTAACAAAAAGATAACTAGAAAATTCCCAACTGTTTAGAAATCAAGCAATGGTATTCTAAGTAACCCACGAGGTCAAAGAAATCACAACGGAAATTAGAAAATATTTTGAACTGAATGAAAATGAAAAATACTTCTATTTCAAAACTAGTGGCATGCAGCTAAAGTTGAATTTACAGGAAATGTATAACCTTAAATGCATATATTAGAAAAGAGAAAAGACTGAAAAACAAACAAAAAAAGGTGATCTAAGAATCCATATTAAAAAATCAGAAAGAAATCCTAGAAAATGAAACATGAAAAAAAATAAGGAAATAATATCTATATGGGCAGAAATTAAAGAAACAGAAAAACATATAATAGAGTGGCTTCTAAAATTGTTTTTTTGGCAATATAACCTTGGAAAAGCAACCTCCTTAATCCAATAAAGGGTATCTACAAAAAATCTACATCAAATGTCATATGTAACACAAAACATGGAAAATGCTCCCTCTGAGATCAGGAAAAACAAGACAAGGATGTCTCCTATCACTTCTATTCAAGGATTGAGGTCTACTTTATTGTACTAGAGGTCTTGGCCAAGTGCAATAAGGCATAAACAAACAATATAAGGATTGCAAAGTAAGGGACAAAAAACTGTCATTATTGTAGACAACATGATGTACATACAAAAATCCTAAAGAATATACAGATGAATATTCAGAATTTAGCAAATTTTCCAAATACAAAAATCAGTTGTATTTCTATACATCAGCAACAAAATTTTAATATATTATTTATCATAGCATCAAAAACATACACCTAGGAATAAATTTAACGAAAGATATGTAAAACCACTTTACATAAAAGTTCAAAATGATGTAAATAAAGGATATACCATGTTGATGGATTGGAAGATTCAGTATTGTAAAAATGTCAATTCTCTCCAAAATAACTGGTAGATTAAAGGCAATGCCAATCAATATCTCAGCAAGGTTTGTTTTTTTTTTTTTGGTGGAAATTGACAAGCTGATTCTAAAATTATATAGAAATGCAAAGGGCCAAGATCCAAGACAACTCTGAAGAGGAATGAGAGAAATGAGAAAGTTAGATGACTTAATTCTACTAGATATCAAAACTTAAAGACTGTGTGGCACAAGGTGAAAAAACAGATGGGCACAAGGGTAGAAAA